CTTTGATAGTTCACCTTGAAACACCTTCGGCCACCCCTGTGGATGGATATGAAACAAAAGTAAACGCTTCTCTTTTTGGTGGCTGGCTCCATCCTCCTGTCAGGCAGTTGTAGGGAGCGATAGGGTCCCCGCTGAGCCTTCTCTTCTCCAGACTCACCCCCCCCCCAAGTCCCTCAGCCGGTGCCCATCACACTCGTGTTCCAGGCCCTGCACCAGCTCCGGTGCCCTTCTCTGGAAAGGCCCCTTTACACGATCCCTGCCTTTGCTCTGCACATGTCCACGGGCTCAGCGCGGGATCGGCGCCGGCAGCATCACCGCACCTCCGCCCGTCCGCGGGTGCTGCGAACCCCTCCCTCTGCCGGCGGCGGGGTGGGAGGTGCCCGGCGCCGCTATAAAAGGGCCGGCTCCGGGCAGGCTGCGCTGTGCTGTGCTGGGCAGCCGCCGCGGTGCCTCGTGCTGGTTCGGAGCGAGCGAGCGAGCGCGACTGGAAACAAGCGGCTTTGATTTGATACGGTGCGTCTTTTGCTAACGGAGAAGCACGGCGGCGTTTACCAGAGCGGGTCTGTTCCTCCCGGGGGTGTCCTGATGCTGGTTTGTCTCTTTAGTGGTTTAGTTCTGTTGTGCTGAAATCTGTTTGACTTTGCTAAAGACAGTGTGCGGGGCAGAGACTGTTTTGAAGCCATGGGTTGGCTGGGCTGGTACTAATCCTGTCTCGAATAGTATTCATTAGGGGTTGTTTATCGTCTGGGAAATGGAAGCCTCGGGATGGGGGATAGGGAGCCTTATCCCTCTCTACAGCTTACCTGACAGGAGGATGGAGCCAGGAGGGGGCTGGTCTCTTGTCCCAAGTAACAAGTGACAGGACAGGAGGAAACAGCCTCAAGCTGTTAATTGATGATCCTAGAAGTCTTTTCCAACCTGGTTGATCCTGTGATGCTTTGGCTGTAGTGTGTTCATGTACTTCTGCATCTCTGTGTGTCTGCAGGTGGATCTGTACTGCAAACTCTTTCCATTTGAGGCTCTCCTGTCCAGCTGCAGTGATGTGGCTGTTGGAGAAGATCAGAGCATCACATGAAAATGGAAGCATCCCTAGCTCCTCCTTCCTGGGACTGCCATCTGGCCAGAATCTGCCAGAGAAATCCCATCTGGGGGCTGCTGCTTTTCCCAATGTTCTCACTCCTGACAGAATCCCTGAGTTCTGCATTCCCCCCAGGCTGACCAGCTCTGGCCCTGTGAAGGGCACTGGCTTCCGCCAGGACCACAGTTCAGAGGATGCAGATACTCATTCTTCTGGCTACAGCTCCAGCTCTTTACCACATCTCATCCAGGTGGAAAGTGCTGAAGAGATCCCAGACCTGGAGGAGGAAAGCACCAACTCCGACCCCCAGTCCCAAGCAGCACTCTCCCTGCCTCACTTTCCCAGAGCCCCCACTTCCTACGGCTTCTGTACTTTGCTGGAGAGTCCCCACACCAGGAGGAAGGAGTCCATCTTCCATGGTGACCCACGTACTGCTCCGCCTGGCCTGATGCTGCCTCGATCCAGAGCTAACACGCTCTCTGGCAAAGGGAGTATGTCAAATCCCATTGCTATCAGCTTTGCCTCTGTGAGGCTCCCTCCCAAGCATCCCTCTCTGCACAGGCAAGGTGCCTGTGACAGTGACACAGCCTCTTCCAGTGACTCCTCTCCTTTCAGCTCTCCCCTTCTCAGCAGGTCACCTCCCAGATCCTGCTCCCGAATCAAGATACAGTGTCAGGAGGGTTTGCTGTGCCGAGCACTGAAAGCCAAGAACAAATCCAGCATGCCCAGGAACAATTCCCTCTCCACAGAGGAGAGCAGCTCCACTGATAACAGCCCCAGTGCCATCCGGCGGGCCTCAGGGGGGCTGCTCACCACACGGACCTGCAGCATGTCCTGTTCTCCCATCTTTCCCTTGGACCTGGGCAGCAGCCAGGAGAGACGAGTGGTAGAGAGTGTGGTGGTGATGGCCAAGGGGGGCACGTTGAGGCTATTGGCTGAATACTGCTCGGAGAATGAAAGGCTGCGGATCCGCCTGATCAGTGCAGAGGGTTTATATGAGGACTCTATAGAGCCCAAAACCATCAACTGCTATATCACCTTCTCCCTGGTGCCAGGGAAATCACAGAAGCAGAGAAGCACTGTTATAAAGAGAAGCAGAAATCCCATCTTCAATGAGGACTTCTTTTTTGATGGTATTGCAGAAGAGCAGCTTTACAGCCGCTCTGTAAGAATGAAAGCAGTGAATAAAGGGTGCAATATGAAACGGGATTACACCTTAGGGAAGCAAGAATTGTCTTTAATAAGTATGTTGTCAGTGTAATACTTCAAACATTCCAACAGACTAATCTTGTCTTCTGAAAGTTTTGTACTAAATAAAGTTTTGGGTTGACTTTCTTACCTTTTAATTTTCTTATTTCTTAAAGAATACCTTAAAGCACTGCATTGCTTGGTGTTGCTCTCATGCTGTTGTACCATATTCTGCTGCTTCAGATCGAGGTAGTTGCTGCTAAATAAAACGGTGGCTATGGAGCAAACCTGTAGAGGAGAGGCGGGCAGAATGGCTGGCTTACATTTCTCCTGAAGGATTAGGCAGTTACCAAGACAAAGGTGTCCTTGTTTATGGCTTTCCAGGTGAGGAAGGGTTGTTTTTTCACTCTGGTCCCTAAGCAGGCACACAGAATGTGTACACAGCAGGCTCTGAACCCTGCCGCAGCTCCTGGGTAGTACATCAGTTAAACAGGCCATTTTTGACAGCACTCATATTTACAGAAATGAATGCCCTCTGTGTGGGAAGGCAGAAGGAGAGGGGTACAGTTTGTTTGGGAATCAGCCTTTCTCCTACAGCAGGGGTGGGGAATTTGGACTAAGTTTGTGTTGAAGATAACAAGCTCAGCTTCTGAGCTAAAGCCCTTGCAGGCAAGGCTCTCTTTCTCTTGACAGACCTGCACTGTTAACACTGAACAGTGAGTTGGCTCTTCCCTGGGGTCCCTATGGAGCAGGTGATTGAGTTAGCATCTTTATTTACCTTTCCTTTCCATGGCTGCTTCACAGCTCTCGGGATGAAGTTGCTAGGTAATTGTGCTTCAGCCAGGAATGTACCCTGAAGCTATAACCCTCAGTAACTCAGCTATTGAATCCTTCTTGAAACTGAAGCAGATAGGATAGCAATATAAAAGAGGAAAGGATAGTTTGTGATCTCTGTGTTGAATTCCTGCTTGAGCTGATGACTTGCTGCATACATTGTTCAAGTAGATAAAATTAGGATAATATCTCCCTGTCCTGTATCAGCAAACGGTGAGTGGCTGAGGCACTTTAACACCATGAGAAATACAAAGGTGCACAGCTCCTGCATGTTTGAGGCCACCTTCCCTTTCATTTTTGCTAATTCTTTCCTGCTGAGGGGCCTGGGTAAACCAGACAAACTCACAGAAACCCCAGCTGTGCGAGGGGGGAGAGGCAGAAACGCTGTCCTGGAAGTCCAGGCCTCTTGCTGCCTCCCTTGATTAAGTTGCAGGCTTCATTATGTGAAGGTAGATGAAGGCTCTATGGAGGAGCAGCCCACACGGGTGTGGGGCACAAAAAGGGAACGTTTTCTTCGGTGTTCCCTGTGAGGCTGTAGAAACAGAGCCTTGCTTGTGCCAAATATACTGCTTAAAAGCTCTTTCAGAAAGATTTCTAGCAGATCCTTTCCCTGCCCTACTCTGGAGAGAGCATAACTGCCTGCACATCATGGGACTGTTCATGGGAGATGCTGGTATTGCTTGGCCACTGAATCATTTGATTCTGTTTCAGACTTCAGTTCCCCAGGAAGGATTTTTTCCCTTCTGATTAAAGCCCAAAGGATGTTCACTGTGACCACAAGTGCTCAGAAATGCTCACTGCTAATCCTCGACCCAGCTCACGTGAGGTGCTTCTAAAAGCAGAATCCTCACACAAAGAGCAACTTGCACAGGGGAATGGCCGGGTATATTCCCAGAAACTGATTAAAATCAAATGAAATAATAAAGCCTTTGTGCTAAAGGAAAGAATTAAATGGACTGGCACCCACGCAGATGGAGGTGATGCACTGACACTTGTATCCTTCAGCCTGGGCAAAGTGACTGTAAGGGAAACCCTGAAGGAAGTGGGGGAAAGTGAAATTACAAAAAGGTGACTTCCAGGAGAAATCAGTAATGCTGCAAAACAATTAACCCTATTTAACTGGTTATTGTATGGGGTCTGCTGAAGGAAGGCAGAGGCTTTCTCTGCAGGCACAACACTCATTCACCATCCCATTTTCAGTTCTTGGGACTTTTCACAGGTATACCCACAAGGAGAAGAAGGCCGAGGTAATAGAGAACAGATACATGTGTCAGAGGATCGCATATAGTCACACTGCAGTGGGTGTCTGCCCTGTGATATGTGCCATGCCAGGGCTCTACTGCAGGGACACGGAATGATGGGGGCAGGAAGGGGCCTTTAGAGACTGTATTGCCAGCTCCAAAGGGTTGCCTAGGACACAAGGATGGAATGTCTCCAAGGACAGAGATTCCACAATCTGCTTGGAAGCCCTAGTGCAGTGTTTCACCACCCTGACAGTAAACAAGTTTTTCTTTCAGTGGAAGTGGAATTTCCTGTATTTCAGTTTGTGCTCATTGTTTCGTGTCCTGTCACTGACTATCACTGAGAAGAACCTGACTCCATCCTCTTCACTCCCTCCCATCAGATATTCATACACACCAATGAGATCTTCCGTGAACCTTCTTTTCTGCAGGCTAATGGGCATGCAAGAGATGTGCTTGTGAAGTCTCATCCTTCATCAGGTAGGGAAGGAGTTAAGTCCATTGAGAAAGTCCTCCCTTCCTGTCATAGGAAAATAAGGTTCCAGCTGGGCTCATCTACTCGGGTATTTAAAGAGGTGAAGTCTGCAGCCCTGGTTGTTTGAAAGAAAACAGCTGGGTTTAAGGCTCCTTTAGGTAATGATTTATTTTTGAGAAAGCCTCTTTACAGAAGTTTGATGATGGGCCTGCAGGCTAGAGAGTGCTTGATCCTTCAGCTGAAAGCAGCAGGAGACATCCATGCCAGATTCAAAGGCAGAGGTCAGGCCTGGAAAGGACAGCTGGATTTTGCCTGTGTTTTTCTGGTAAATAATCTAGCTTTGGATTTTCCTTGCTAATTTTCTCCTTTAATATAAGAACTTTGAATTAAGTACCTATTCAGCTACATTAGTCACACTCAGGACTAAGTATGACTGTAACATTAGATGGAAAACAGTTTTGGTCCCATCCCTTCCATTTTAGTGTGTCTTTTTACATCTGGGGGTATTTGATCCCTTTTGAGCTTCAGGGTGTTGCTTTTCAGGGTGTTGTACTTATCTGCAGTGCAGAGCCATAATACAGTTCAAATACTTTAACTTGCTTGAATGTTAGAGGGCACAGGACTTGTTTTCTTGTGCTCTTAGACGTCAAATAAGCTGTTAAGTGGCGAACACCTACAGCGCTGTCTGTGCTGCAGCTGCTTTCCAGAAGCGTCAGCATTATTTGGGCTAGTACATAAAGCACCTGCATAAGCAAACAGGAAGGCAACTGGATACTTCAGCCTGGAAAAGCTCCTAATGCATCAATGCTTATATGAGAGTCAACAGCAAGAAGTAAATCCATCTCTTGGCATTAGCAAACAGAGTTAAAAAACTCTTCAGAAGTTGTCTGAACTTCTGAAATAGCATGAAACTGCAGTTGCGTGAATGACTCTACAGCAGTGGTCTGATCAGCCGTGCTCAGTAGTGCTCACTGGCTTGAACATCACCTCTTAATTTCATTCCTAAAACGACCCTTCACAATTGTTTGAGGAAAAGAAGCTCTTCCTGCCAAGATCCTGGACTCAGGTTTTGCTAAGCAAATATCATTTGTTTCAGCTGCACTGGAGGTACTATTTGTGCTGGCCTTTTCAAACCCAGTTATTTTAAGCGTGCTTCTTCAGTGCTGGACAAATGTTACTGTGAAGCAAATCTATGTTTTTCCTGCCAGAAATCCATGCAGCTTATAGTTAAATACAGCCTGTGGTGCCATGTAGAGGAGGGTAAAACACAATTCTTGTAACTATGCTGCTTTTCAGGTAACGTTCGGAAATAACACCAAGGGAAACAAATATCTATGACCTAAAAAGCCAAACAGAGCAGACGTGTAGGGTGGGGATTGGGCAGCACAGTGTCTGCAGTATCACATTCCATTTATTGCACCACTTGCTCTAAGCTGCTCCCATTTCTCGGACTGGCTCTGGAGAGGCACTGCTGGGAACAGCATCTATGCCACCTCCTCATGCCCCCTCTGAGGAAGCTGATTCCTGCGGCTTGGCTTTTCAGTCAGCCATAGTGACTGTGATGAAGGATTGAGTATATGGTGGGGCCTAATGGGCAAAAATCTTTCTAGTCTTACTCTAACTCTTAATGCCTGTTGGTAACTTCGTGTGTGCTCAGAGAACTGAGGAAGGAACAGCTAGATGAATGTGTAATTCTGTGGAAAGCCTGTCTCTGCAGACTGCTGGGGAGGACAGGCCACAGGCCGTGTGCTCACTGGGCTGTCCCTGTGCTCTCCAGCAACTGCTGCCTGCATCAGAGTTGGGCAGTTGTCCTGTATCTAGGTGATAGATCTTTTAGCTTGTATGAGTGTCTGTATTGTTGGGTATGACATTTGGCGAAGGTGGAAAAGGTAGTGAGTCACATCTATTGATAGCTTTTTGCAGCAGGATGTTTGATTAAAACAAACAGCATCCTCACACTCACAAAACGAATGGCTTAATTAAATACTGTCTGTTTTCCATTGCTGTGTTCTCTGAACAAAAAAAACCTCACCATGTAAGATTAATCTGCATATTTAAATGAGGTGGCATTTCAGTACAGACTTAATGCTGATGACTGTCACTGAAATGTACTCTGATATCATTATTTATAGTGTCTTAGAAGAAAGGACTAAAGTTATGGTGAACAATCTGTCCTGGTAGCAGAGGTAAAACAAAGTTGAACGTTGCAGAGTGTCTGTGAACTCATCTTCTTGGCATCAAGGTGATTGACAGCAAACACAGGGGACAGACCTGTGGATGCTCCAAACCAGCCCTTGTCCTGGGCTGTGCACAGCACCATGCTGCCTGAAGAGTGGGGCAAAGGGCTACATTCTTCTTTGTGTATGGGCCTGTTGTGCCCCCGTCAGCATTGCTAAGCAATCGTGTGTGTTATGGTGCTGGCCCTTTGCATTTAGGGGATCCTCATGAGAGGAAATGAGCTTCCAGCAGTGTTTTGCTCTTGTCAGGAACAGAAATGGCTACAGCCCAGGTTGCTGGTGGTATTTGGCAACTGGGGTGAGGCAGGGGCAATTGAGCACAGTTCCAGAGATGAGAGGAGGGGTGCAACAAGCAGGAGTGAAAAGAATGAACAGCCTGTTTGGCCCAGACACCACCACAGGTGACCAGACAGCTCTGTCTTCTGGTTTTGTTATCCCCTCCGCTATTACTTTTCTATTTCTGGCTATAAATGTTCTAATGTTGCAAAATTAGCTATCCTGAGAGGTACAGTGAGAGCCTGACCTTGTCAAGCATTGCATGTACTAGACAGGAAAGTACTGAACAAGATTTTCCAGCCTACTTCCTTTCTGGTGAATCTCAATGATTCTTCTGCTTGTGTTTCTCAGCCTCTTCAATGTGAAATTGGGAAATGTTTGAAGAAGCACAAGGTGAGTGAAAAATCTGCTTCTTTGTAGTGGGAGGACTAGCCAGAGTTCTGGGTCTCCATTACATTGCTGTTTCATTTGTCAAAGCTTCCTGTGCTAACCATTAGCTGTTCGCAGTGAGCAGTAAGCCTGCATTTACCAGCCCAGTAAATTACAATACAGTAACAGACGCTGTCTTGAAATGCTAGAACCAACTTCAGCTTGTCTGAGGTTTCTCTGCTTTCATCAGATTATTTAATTTACATAACTGTGATTCTGTAAGATACCCTGGTTGTCAGCCTGTGTTACTTGACCCCTTTTGGCAGCCCTGTGCCCGTGGCAGAGCTGTACCTGCCAGAAATGCTTTCTGCTGATCCCAACCATTAAGTTTAGCAGCACGAGTTGGGAGCCGAGTGCTGTCAAAGCTGATCCAAGCCAGCATTTCAGCTGTGCAGTCTTGCATCAGTTTGTCTGTGGGGAAGGAAAAGAGTGAAGCCTCCTTGATTTTTAATGGATAACAAAAGGCTGGAAAAGACCTTTAAGATCAACTGTTCCCCAGCACTGCCAAGGCCACCACTGAACCATGTCACTGAGGGCCTGATCTATGTGGATTTTGAGCACTTCCAGGGCTGGTGATCACAGCACTTCATGGGCAGCCTGTTCTGATGTCCCAGTGCTTGACCAGCCTCAGAGGAAAAAAAGTTATGGGCTTTTTCTCCTTTTGCACCTCTTAATATTCAAATGGAATTTCCTGTGTTTCAGTCTGTGCCCATTTCCTCTATCAGTCCATTCTGACAGCACTGACAAGAGTTTGGCTCCATCTTTTTTTCTTCCTCAAATCACACTTCCCTTGTTTGTTTTATTCACTTTCACTTCCTGAATACAGGAAGTGACTTTCCTGGCTGTGTTTTGCTTTTAGGTTTGGCTAATAGCAGCAATGTAATGTAAGATGTCTTGCCCATCCTGGCTTTTCTAAAGCACTACAGATAGCTGTGGTCTGGTCCTGCTTACATTATATGCAAAGGGAATCTCAGAAGAATGCTTTAAGTGCCAAGTTAAATGTTTTTAATACTCATGCAAGATGTCATTAGTACAAAATGCAAGTGGTGGAAAACTAAGAAAGACTTAAAACCTAATGAGGTGAAAGCCTTACACATTTACTGGTAAGAAATTATTGCAATATTAAAGCCTCCCCTTCATTACTGCTCATGTGGAGAGCTTCAGGCAGCTGTAACTGCAAATGTCACCACAGCAAATGTGCACATTCTTGGGAAGCTTTTGTAAACATTTTGTGTGGCTTCACTGCATGCTGTATTCCCCTTTGGGCAGACAACATGGCTGGGACAGGTACAGCACCGGTATTAGGAGTATAACCCTTTTGACAAGCTGTAGGAGGGTATGTTCCCTGCCTCAGATGTAAGCAACATTCAGTTTAGGGTAGTAGATATAAAACCCCCAGCTCTCTGTTGTTTCTTACCTGTACCAGTCAAATTACTTGGTATCTTTCCTAATAGTGAAAAATAAATAGACTGATACTTTGCTTAATGGAAATCTTGCCTACATATTGCTTGATCTGATAACTATTTATCTATGGCTTCCCCTGTTCTTGAATTGCAAATGGTGCTTCTAGGGGAAATAGAGCAGGAAGCTAAAGATGGCAATAGCCCAAGAAGCCACGCTTTGCTCTCGTTTGTAAGGTTTCCCACAAGAATCTTAACAGAGGGTACATTGTCCTGTCTGTATCTAACCTTAGTGCCCAGCTAGGGAAGCCCCAACTGTCTGCAGTTTCAGGAGGGAACTGCTCCAGTGGTGTGTTTGTGTATGGCAGAGGAGCCACACAGCTCTCAATAAGCAACAGCTCACCCTGATGCTGGGGAAAGGGAGCCCAAACCATACAGACTGCTGCTTGTTGTGCCTGTAAGGGCTACATAGCAAAGAGGTCTAGCTGGAATAGAGGCAATTTAAACCAAAGGGAGTCATTTGAGAAAATAACTTGTGTTGCTTATAATAACCCAATAAAGTGTCTCTCGAAGACACTTATGTATGGGGTTTTTTAGCTCTAGTTCTACAGGCTGCAGGCATTTGTCCCTCAATTCTTGCTGAGAGACAGAGGGAGATAGCCTGAGTCAAATTAGACTTATTTCTTTCTATCTTTGTATGAGGTAGATAAATGCTGTCATTGATCATTAAATCAATGCTGGAGGTGGCCCCAGCAGAAAGCTCCCACCCCTCCGGTTTCTGAGCCTCTCTATACTGCACCCATAAATGCTTTGTGTACTAATGGCTGATCAATGTAACAGTTCCACTGTGTACCCGTGAGCGGGAAGGACGCAGCCAGCTCTGCATCCCTGCTCAGTGCATATGGAAGCAGATTCATAATTTATGCTGCTTCTCAATAAGCCCAGGCACCAGTGCATTATCATGATTAATTTAACAAAGCTTACTTAGAAATGACACCACAAGTGATAGTGAATGTTGTTTCATTCTCGTAAGTGCATATTAGATGTTACTTCCAGGGAAGAACAAAGGAATGAAAGCCTGTTTTTCTGAGCCAGTCTGACAGATAAAATGGGAGGTTTCTTATTTCTGACTTCTCCCACATTGGTACATAGCTGTTAACCGTGTTGTGTCAGCTGCTTGAAATGGCTTTGGCCTGCAAAGGAGAGGGTAAATTCTTCCCCCCATGCAGGATCAGCGGTGGAAGATAAGTATAATGTACAATCGGGATAAATCTCATTCATGAGCCCGTGGTAGTTAGACATCACCTAGCTAGGCTTCCGGCTGGCTTCCTTGGGGTATTTTGGAATTAACCATTGCATCACACCTGCCTCGGTGTGTACCCTGCTTTGCACCCTTCAAGTGCAAGCTTCAAGTTCAAGCTTGAAGAACACGTTGTACCTCTGTGTGTCTGTCAGCTACGTGATTCCATGAACTGGAGATGTTTCTTGGTGCAGCTTTCACCTACCAAACAGGTTCTTGAGCAAAGGCTGGCAAAACAATTTGGTTCAGCAGCTCTGCAGTTAACATACTTCCCAGACTGCATCAAAACTGTCGGATCATTGGACCTGCCATGTAAACCAATGAACTTGATATAAAACTGCTTTTAACCTGTAATTTAATGTTTTTGTATGGCAAATGGCAGAATCCCTGTTTCACATAGGCAGATAGGTAAGTGATTACAGTATGTTTATTGTACGTGGCAGTTCTTTTCAAAACACACGTTTAAACAGATGGCTTATGTTGACTATTAATGCAGTTCCTGTGATTAAGTTCAGTCTGAACGAAGTAGGCAGAGATTGACATTCCACTGACATCACCGCTGGTGTATTGCATCTTCTTATGAATGTTCAAACTCAGATCTGCTACTACAGCTTCACTGAAATGTCAACTGTGATAAGTCACGATAGAACTGAAGAGATAAGGTACCTGGCACCTTGCTAATTTACTTTTTGACTGGGATTTACTATTTGCATATTCATGCTGTAATGTTTTATTGGTGAAAGTCCACGTTTGAGTAAATTACTCTAAAAAACATAGCAGTAGGCTGAAACTTGCCTCTTCGTCTCGCTAGATGCGATGGGCTTATAGCACAGGCAAGCTAACTTCCACCATACAGGGAACTCAAATCCATGGTGGTGCTGTGCTCTGCTCACTGAAGCACCTGCATGGCCCACAAGCACTGCTGTCAGTGTATGGTCCTACAGGTAAGGCAGCTGTTCCAGAAAATAGGAATGGCCATATGCCTGGTGAAACCTAAAGCTCCTCTAGTATGGTGTTGTGTTGATGCATGATATTGCAATAGTGACTGGTAAAGGAGTGTGAGAGCAGTTCAGATGGCACAGCCCAGGCTGCAGAACTGAGGCTGCTTTGGGGCTTCCTGACCTGCAGCTCATTTTGTTGTGTGTAATAGTGCTTGACAGGTTTCTCCTTGAAGAATTTGTTGCAGAGCTTCTGGAATTGATGCAAACATTCATTCTTCCAGTAAAGTGTTTCATACCTTAGTTATGTGTTATGTGAAAAAGTGTCTCCCTTCCTTCTGAACTTGCTAATAGCTTCACTTGATTATCTGTAGGTCTTGTATTGCAAGAAACAGTAAACAATTGTTCCCTATTAACTCTCTTTGTCACCCATGATTTTGTAAGTCTGTTCTATCATCTGATGTGTTTTATACCCTGAGGAGTTCTGTGCTGTTTGTGATATGGAAGGAGATTTTGTGCTTTATCACTTTTTCCTCTATTACTTCATAGTATTTTACTTACCTATCTTAGTCATTTCCAGATAAGCTTCTGCAGCAGGTAATGCGTCAGCCCCAAAGTGAGAGTCTCGTGGCTGCATTTCAGCAAAGAGGATCTTCAGCCTCCTGTGATCCATTTAGGAGTTGTTGGTTGTAGCTTCTGGGGTGACAGTATGGTATGGTATAGTTAGGCTTAGTAGAGTAGCTGTTTAAAACGTCTGAACAAGCACCTCGTGTCTGTTAGATGCTGCTTACCTTTTCCTCCTTCCTTGGAACTCTCCTAAAGCAAATTTTATCTTCTGCTGCTACTTCTACTATATTCTTCACTTAAATTCAGTGTGGAAAAAAAAAAAAACCACAACAACATGCATTTCATATATCTTTGGATAGAGAGGTTTTCAAATGTCATTTCATTATTCAGTAGTGACTTTATAAATATGCATGCATGGGAGTAGCGTTGTTACAGCACAAAGCTGTGCAGTAGTTACGTGCTTTTGGTATCTGCTTTATCAGGGCCTGTGGCACACATTCTTGGAAGACCTCCCAGTGTCAGTGTGTGATGCTGGGCAAGGCTGAAGTTGAAACAGAACAAGGTCCTTTTTATTTCTAAGTCTGGCACATCTTCAGCATTACAGGGCTGGCACTGCATGGCATGAAACACTGCCTCCATGCTGAAATACCTGTTGGAGAAGAGAGCTCATTTTCAGTCACACTAATGCAACTACCCAGACAACCATATTCCACAATCTAATTAAGCCTGAACAAGAGCAGAAACTTGATACCTACAACTTAAAAACCAGCTGATTATTCCTCTTTGAGTAATTGCTGGAATAAAATAAGCCCACGGCATTTCTGGGAAAGCCTTAGGAAATCTCTTTCGGGAACAACATACAGTGCTTAGCTTTCTTCTGATCTGTTTTGGACCAGTTTTAACAGAATCTACACAACAAGAATAAATGGGACAACACTGTCTCCTATTACATGAAGTCTGTGAGCTTTCATTTCAGTGAATAAGCTGTGGTAAACATAAAATTTACAGAGTTATTATTCCAGCAATTTGTACTATGTAAAAACCAAAACAATGCATCACCAAAAAAACCCTCCACCAACCTAAAGCCCAAACAACAAAAACCCAAACATCCCCTCCAAAACCAAACCAACCAACCAAGCTGCCCCCAAACCCTAACCCAAACACAGAACCCCACCTCAACCCCTCAAAAACCCGAACCCACCCTTTCAGAGAGCCAGTGAAATAGCCTGGCTATAGCAGGTCTACTCTCTAAAAAGCTGTGGTTAACATTTTGGTTGACATGGAGGTCCAGGAAGGAAGTCTTGGACCCAAAGGGATGAACAGCCTGGATGCTTTTCCAGTGAGGGGTAAACCACCTGGCAACCACCAGGCATGGCTATCAGCTCTCTACAGAAAGAGAAGTAAAATTAAGTCGTGCTGCAGCTTGGTTAAATATTTGTGAAGCAGATTTAACATCCTTTTACCAAGTGAATGTATAAAGCTGTAAACAGCTGTATAAAAATAACCTCTGAAAACACTTTCTTTTTATAGTTTTCCTTGATAAATGGCTCCAGAGCAGCATAGGTAATGCACAGGTACCAGGAACATGAGGAAGCTGATTACAGTTGTAGCTCATAATGCTGGTTATTCAGGGTGTGTGACACTTGTTGTCATTGGAGCTGGATTTCAGTCATTTGTAACCTTGTCTAATTGTGTTTGTTCTCATGTTTTCTAGCCTGACTGTTAACCTCAAGCTGCATTTTAGTGGGAAACATTGGTCAAAAGGCACAGCCTTCTCTAAAGATCATGTTTAGGAATAAAATCTTGGCTTTTAGTTCTTGTCTCCAAAGGCTTGGAAAAATGATTCAAATACAGCATTGGCATGGTTCTCGCAGCAGGGAGAGACCTCTTGATGTTCTCATGCAAGCTAGAAAGTTTGGATGAGTGGTAATTTGCACATGCTCCATGTAGACTTAGATGTTAGTTGCTAAAATCTTGGTCTGTCTTATCTGTTTTGTGCATGCCTAATAAAATGATTTTGTCTTGTTTCTGATCAAGCTGTGTGTGCATGAACTCTAAAGAATCATTAAACCTGATTCAGCCCATGCATGTAAGTAGATTCAGACTTTCCTTACCAAAACTGCTCTGGCCTCACCACAGAGCTTGTCTTCTTTTATGCTTACACTGATCCTCCAGCTAAACGATGAATATATAAGAAGGATGAGTGAAGGCCAAGGGAGATGGCAGCCCTCTGCAGCAATGGGTAATGGTAGTGGCTGGGGGGGACCAGCCTAGCTGGCAAAGGAGTCAGCAGGAAAGAGCTGAAAGAACTGGTTCTCTGGGAAGTCAACAGAAAAGAGGAGCCGGGAAGTCAAACTAGGAGAAGAGGCAAACTATGGAGATGTGGGAGTTACCATAGCTGCACAGGTCAAAGTAAGGAAACAAACAATAGCAGCAGTGTCTCAAGCAGCAAAACCAGTTTATTGGGTTTGAGGATAAGATATCCCAGGTCAATAGATGCTTTTGTTTGTTTGTTTTCTAACCTTGCTTTCTGAAAGCTAAGTTCTAAACCAAGCTATTTCAGAAAGTGAATATTAACCATTGTGTGACTGGTACCTTAGCAGGAAGCATCCAGGTCTTTCCTGGAACAGAATTTTCCTGAGTTATTTCTGAAGGATACTGGAGAGGGAAATGATTGGTCACACGTGAGTAGGTTGAGGCAGCCCAGGTAAAGATTATCTCTGATTTAAAGTCAGAGATTATCTGATGAGTGCTGCTTGTAGCCATAGAAGCCTGCAGGTAACATGCACTCATTTAAGAATTTTTCAAATCCGAATTATGTAAGAAAGTGAATGAAAAAAGAGTACATTATAGCTGCCAGTATTTCTTCAATTTTATCCCCTACCATGTCAAACAAATGACGTAATTTTGCTACTGCCTTATTTTCAGCTTCGTGTTTCTAAGCTTATTGGCATTTTCTCATGCTATGCAAAGGTAAAACTAATTTACCCAGAGATTACAGAGAAGTTGGTTTATGTTAGCTTAGGCAGTGATTCAGATTCTGTCTGACATTAAATATCAATCTCTACTTCCTTTTGGTTTGTGGATAAATGTGACAGACCTTGCACAGCTACACATGTACATTAAGGAACCCTACAGATAAAGCAAAGAAATGAGTGCTTCTCTCTTAAAAAATTCTATCATGCTTCAAAACAGCAGCTGTCAGTCTAACTTTGTGACTGCTGAGCATCCGTAAGATTCCTGGGCTGTGCTTCCATGTCCTGTGCTGCCAGCTGTCAAGATGGTGTGTCTCCCTGGCAGTGGCACTAATAAACTGGTAGACCATAAATCTTGATACTCAGGTAGAAGTAGATGTTAATGGTGATCAGATGTTTGTTTTGTTTGATTCCAGTTTTTTGTTACCCTCAACAATTTGCTATGAATGAATCAATTTTGCTTTTTCCATCTAATGTCACCATGTCTGCATGTAACCAAGCACCAACAGGTTATTTTTCCCTTGCTTGTGTGCAAAGTATGAACCATCATTCAGAAAAAGGTATTTCATCAGGCAGCCTCTCCATGCTGGCAGTTTTGGCATACTGGAGGTGCCTGTTTTTTCTGTCATTTGGCTTAGGCAACTCTTACGTGCGCGAAAGAGACACTGCAAGCAGGATATACACACCTTCAAGGTACAAAGCAATTGATTGTTGCCTTATGCACACAGTTAATAGGTGAGACTCGCAAGTTCCCAGGCTAAGAGAGCTGGCAGGGACCTGACAGTAAATGGGTTACAATTGTGTGCCTCCTTTGTTCCCTAGGACAGGCTCACCCTCAGAGTTGCTGAGTTGCCATCCTTGTTTCCCTGGTTTTTTTTTTAGGATTTTATGCCTTTCCAGGAAGTGACCTTTCCCATTTCAACAGTCTTGCCTGTGAGTTTTATCTGTCTTATTTTGTCTGGCTTTAGCTGACATACTGCCTCACAGCTCTTCCTCACAACTTGTTGTGAGACACGTTTTTGATTAGTTTTAACAGAATTTACACAACAAGAATAAATAGGACAACCTTATTTCCATTTAGATAAAGTCTGTGAGCTTTCATTTCAGTGAATATACTGTAGTAAACATGGACATTTTCATCTTAAAAGTCCTAACTTGTTTTACATGAGTGGCCCACAGGCTCTATTAAACATGAAGGTATAATCTCATCCTGTATGCTCTTTTTTATTTTATTATTTTAAAAGAAAAGTAAATATTAACATCATAGATGCACATCACAGAGGCTCAATTACTGTAAACTTAAAATGGACAATATTATAATCAAACCAAAATGACAGTTGAGATTAGATCATGTGTTACCAATTATGTGCCTTGGATCACCAGTTTATGAAGTCATAAAGTTAGTACAGTGTGTAATCAGTGCATGCCCAACAAAGAAGAATTGCTAGTTGTTAATTTTGCATCAGGTGTTTCAAAGGGGAGCTGCTTCCTTTTGGTAAATGCCGATCTATAACAGAGGACTTTAGCATCCTGGGGATTGCTGGTGCCAGGGTTCACAGAAGGGCATTGCCTGGAGGAGAGGATAAAGCCTATCTTCCTAATCTTAAGGAACTACAGAGATCTAAGCAGGCCCTTTGCAGTTTTCTGCTTCAATGCTTTCTTCTGGAAATTTCATTGCAAGTTGCAGAGCTATGGTTTATCCTCCTTAGTTATCACTTGCCTTTACCCAAATAAGCATAAGAACAGATGTGCCAAATGGATTTTACAAGGTGATTCTTCTACATCCACTGAAGTTTTCCAATTTCTGGGTAACCTGAACGCTTACATTCTTTCATTAAAAATAAAAAATCTAAAATGTTGGAAGTGTATCTTTCTAAGCTGCCATCTATTGTCTTTACAGTACGTGAATGGGTTTTATTTTGGAATTTGATCTATTTTGTATCCTGTTCTAACATTGTATGGTTATACTTTCTTAGTGCTTCTTAAATATTCAGTAAAGAGAAGTGTTTTTCACAATATTTACTAAGTGAAAACTATGTATTTTTATGTAGCTTATTAGCATTTACTATGAAAGAAAAATATTGAAAAGGTTTTTCCTGACAATCTCATTTCTCAGTGCACTGTCTGATGCCGTTATTAATTATACTGTGCTTTCATCCTTCTGTGACCACATCTATTCCCAGAAATACTGTAAGTGGTGCTTCTGCACACAATTTAACTCCCCAGTAAACATACCCATCTGCTCAGTGTTTTCCTTCCTGCATAATTTTTACCTCAGTGGTAAAAGCAGCTGACTGAGGGCATCAGGCAAGAGATATAACTGTTCCTGCAGATTGTCTTGTTATAATGAAATTGGAAATCAGGTGATGTCAGTGCTATCAGACAATACCTATGCTGACAAATGCCAGCTAGAGTGTGAGGATGTGTGTGACAGGAAGCTTCAGGGCCTACTGCCTTAAGTACCTAAGTGCCAGGGAACAGTTTTGTTCTTTTCTGGATAGCTTCTACTTTGGAGAATGTTTCAATTTAAAACAGCTTTTCTCAAAATTGTGTATTCTCAGAGTAGATAAAATGAGATGTGGTTATGGGCCAAAGGGCTGTCATGGAAATCATTGTGACTCCACTGCTTTCAAATACTTTTCTTGGTCTCAACAGTAGTGTCATCTTCAGGTTCATTTCAATGGCAGAGGTATAGAGAATGTTCCTATGAAGTTTAGGATAGTGGAACAATTTTTTTTGAGTTGCTTTCCTTTCATGCTGCTGGCTAGTTTCAGAAGTAGGATGCTAGCGAAATTCAGCTCTTCAAACCTACACATACTCAGTGGTTCTGTACTTTGTAAAAAATCTCAAGCTTCCCATTTTACCCCATGGAATTTCCTGATAGTAGCTGTCAGTTTCACAGGCCCCACAGCCTCTACTGGGTAGAAATCTCATTGCAGGTCAGACAATTTCACCGTTGTGGTTTGAATGTTACTCTGTGCTGTCATACTAAAATGCTGAATACAGCACCTGGTCTGCTGGTTGCCGTAATGGCAAGACTTTGTTGTGCTTGTATCATATTTCTTCTCTTAAAATGGACAAACTACAGAGAATGTTTCTTATGTGGGCAGTTGTACCCTACTTACATGTGCTCAGCTGCCTTGATCCTTGGAGAGCACTACCTCATCAGGAAGTTTGCCAGCTCACATGTATTGTGTTTCGAGGCTGTGCATTTCCATGCTGACTCCAGCTTCTCTATGAGAGAACACAAAAGATTTTTCTTCAGAGGGTCAGGAGATATCCTCCATATTTGTCAGTCCTTGATTTTTAAAGTGAGGACTGACCTATTCTTACTAACTGCTTCCCACATAACGGGAAATACGCTCTTGAAACAAACTTAAACCCAGTGTAGATCTCATCCTGTGCATTTTAGAGAAGAGGAAAAAGAAATAAATTGAAATGACAAGGACTCTTTGTTTCTCAGAGTTGCAGGAGAAATATTTAATGCTGGGAGAAAACTCCTAGGTACTACCTAACTAGGACAGAATTTGGTATTACATAAAGGTGACTGAGTTGAATAAGGGCAGCATGAGCAGGCTGGCTACAAGATGTTCTGGAGATTAACATTTAGGGGTTTCAGCTGGAACAGAAGCATTTAGTTTAGTGTTTTAATTGATTTTTAAACTGAGATTAAGATAGAGAAATGTTTTACAGTGAGAGATTTTTGATCTAGCAGTTGAATTCAGATGGATCCCTGTGCCCATGCAGTTATCCCATTTATGTGAATAGGATTTGGTATACGTAAGGTACCAGTCTCTTGATGTGTGTCTGTAATTCAGGACTGCTATTTTGATTTCTTAAAATGCATAAACCAAGAGATTTCTCATTAAAATAGTGTGATTTACACAGACTCCTGCAGCACAGCATGTGAGTGCTTAATTCATGCTCATGTTTAATATTTAACAGAGTGCTGCTTTGTTATAGTAACAACAGGAAAAAAGGTACGTATGGTTCACTGCTGTCAAAAATAAAGACGTAGAAGCACAGTAAGCAGACTTTTAATTTCTTTCTCATCTGCCAGCTAAAACCTTTCACCTACAAAAACCCTCATCAACTGTAAAAGGTAGTTGCTAT